TTGTCCACCGGTTCCAAAAGTCATCTTGGTTGTTCACCGTCCGAGTCCCGGGGTCTGAAATAATCGACGATTGGATTAACGAATTTAAAAAGTTTCCCGCTTTGAAGTGCAGTTGAAAGTGTTCGGCTGTTATCAGTTTTCGCTGTTTTTTCATCACGTAACACTAACGATGCCGGAAGATTTCTCAACAACGTTCAGCTGTCCCCTTTTGATCCACACTGGTGCGGTAACCAGTTTTTTACTTCGATAATCGACGACGACCGCAGCTCTGGAAATTAGATTAATTGACTACGTCAGGCTGCGATAAGAATATGATTTTGAAGTCGAACCGGGCTCGCGATCAGGGTGTTCACTGAGTGCCAAGCTTAACGAGCAAGATCTCTACCACACTAGGATTAGTATGCTTTTCACTGTTTCACACCGAACGACACAATCAAACCAAAGCGATCCATGGAGTTCCAGCATATTAACACTTGTCTTTCTTACTTAACTTCTCAACCAAAATAGTTTGTTTTATTCCTCTCTCTCTCTCTCTCTTCCCACTGACAGCATCAGTTTCACGAGGATTTCAACTGACGAAATGCATCTTGTTGTCAAACTTTCTTTATCACGATCCGCAGTTTAACTATGATTCATTAAAACGTTTTTTTCTGGTTCGTACGGTTGTGGCGCTAGTTATACTTGATGGATGATAAAGCGGAGTATGATTCACTCTTCACAAGTGCCTCGTATTTATTCTCTACTATCATACTTGTGGTGAGCCATCGCCACATCGAACTTAGCGTGCATTATGTCGAGTTTATAATTTTAGGGCAGTGGAGATATGTTACTACAGTAGAGCGCTTTGTCTTCTGATCCACGTTCTCTTTAAGTTCAATGAACAGCACAAAATTCACTGTTCTGTACCTGACGTTCAACTGAAAATTGCTTTTCGGCTACTAGTACCTATCTGGCCTATTCTTTGCCACTGTTTTGTATACATATCGAATATAATTGAACTACTGCGTGTCTCCCGTTCCTGACTGTCTATCGAAAACCCGTTTCCTACGATCCAATGCTCTTTGATCTCTTGTATCCAATCCGGTATCCGTGTCCGTTGAAACGCTGAAAACTTATCACTCGGTCGTCTTGGGCGTTCTTGTTCTGATGAACGCGATTTCTCTGTCAAAATGACTTGAACACGGTAATCTGACTTGACCTGGTCACACGTCGAATCTTCAGCGCGCGAATCCGGATGCGCTGTTCACTTTGTTCGGTAAGCTGACCCACGTTCGCCTGTGCTTCTGGCGTGCTCTTTCATACTTCTCTCACCGTGCCGATTGTTCTTCAAATGTGATTTCGTCTCGCCTTCATGCGGATGACTAGCTGACTGACCTCACTCATTCATATTGCCCTTATGTCATACGTATTTGTTCGTTTACGTTACTTGGCTGCCCATTGAAATCTTTATACTCCAAGACAGTGGGGCGACAGCCTGTTACTTTCATATAACTATTCACTTTCGTTGGTGAATACCCGGTACCCGTCTTTGAAAAGTCGGATGAGATGAATAATGAAAAAGGCTTGTAAGTGACATCTCACAATAAGTTGTCCGGACTGGATTGCCGAGGTTTCCTTGTGGGTAAATGTCGATTACCATTTATACACTGATATTCAAAGAAATCGGATCATTCCACTTACCACTGCATATCAGTTGCATCAAGAAATCTTTTCCGTCCGTCTGCGTTTTTACCTTTTGTACACTATCGGTTTCAGGAACCAATTATGAGGTCTGCCACCGAAATTTGATAGTATCTGCAAATTTAGATATCCCTACTGAGCAGTATTGATGCTCGGGATACAGATGCTCACCTATTCGGTCGTATTTCACGAAACCGTATTTTGCACCTGTCCGGGTTAAGGTTGTTTCAAACAAAACATTTGTGAGTATCTTAAGCTTAGGAGTTGATCCACGATATGTTCTGGGGTGTAATATTACCAGATTGCCCTGGAGAGTTGAGGATTATGTAGGCACGCAATCCTCTTCTTGGAACTCATGCTATTATTTCTCCCAGGTTATCTAACTCAGATATATCACTGGATGTTGGTTTTTTGGTTTCACTTCAGTAGGTACCTCGCACAAGTAATTAGGACGTGCACATCAAACAGTTTAGACAGCACACTGAGTGAGAGCTTACTCGTGAGCTGTGGATAAGTTTTCGCTCATCTCCGTGTGTGCATGCTATTTGACGGTATTTCACTAAGCCATCTAGGAAATTCTCACCGGCAAACCAAGGCAACTGAATAACGAAATCGTCCGTGAGACACTTCTTCCCAAATCTCTGTATGATGAATTAGCTTCCTTTTTTGTCGCACACCTTTGTGTTTTAAAAGACAGAACGAGATGAACATGGTCACGGTACCTGTTGCTCACTCTTATGACCAGTGCAAGTCACTTGAAAACAAGCTCGTGGAGAGCCTGAAGAATCTTGATTAATCGCCGTTTAAAGTGATAAAAGCCACAGCCGCTGTTGATAGTTACTATCGTTTGTATCTTATCAAGACCTAGTTACAAGTGAGAAAATTGAGAAGCGCCGCAGTGAGCTCACTCACCCTCAAGGTCACCGTCTGGAACAACATCTAAAGACACGATTCAGCTAGCCTCTTTTGGTATCAGTCTTGTCAAGCCTTTCGTTGAGTGTACAATGGCTACCAGTTAACACTAATAACTCATCGAAAGCGGTAATCGCTCGGGAGATAATTAGGAATTGCTTATCTAGTTGCCAAAAAGGGTTCACATCCCTTTTTTGCAAGTTATTGTGATGGCATCGTCTCGAGGCGTCTTGCTGTAGTCATACTCCGTCCATTGTCTGCCGCACTTATATAGTGCGAGCGAAAAACTGGCTGGTTGTACTGACTACATTGTCACCCTTCATCCAACTGCGGAACGGAGATCTCCCACAAAGCTATCGTTCTTTTTATGAAAGCCATCTACGATATATGAGACTATTCCATTCGTACTGCTTCCCTTTAAATAGGGTGTCGGAGACATTTCCTTCATCTTCACGTCTTCCATGCATATATGGCCGAAGTCGCCCGTAGACACCAGCTCCTATTTTCGTTCGGGTTCGTCGAAGATACCTTCTTCCTTTTCTTTCGAATTGTATAGTTGATGTAATAGATGTCCTCGCACAAGAATAATGGCGGCATATCATCTGATCTGGAGTACTCGGACGATGTCGTGTTGGGTGAAAAACTTGTCTGCTTATTACTGTTACATAGTTATAATCTATCATGAAATAAATGGGCTCATGGACCACTTTGACTTATTGGTATTTTGGTTACTTGGATCATAAGCAATGTCCCTAATCTCAAACATTGAGCGACTAATCCAGTAAGTTGCTAGATTCTCACCTAATGTTAGTATCTGGCTTGCGTTTCGCAATTTCGCTGTGCAGCATTTTGCTGGAGGACTGTGTAGGTTGACATGTTCGCGAATGGGTCGAGTAGAAACTCAACCGTCGATGACGTATGCTTTTGTGCACATGGTCCCAAATGCGGTGTGTGGAAATCGGTATTCAAGCACCGTTGTTTGCACTGCTTAACACGTGTTGCGAAGACAAACAGTAATAGGTTATGCTACTTTGTAGCCACCTAAGCGATGGATCGTTTTTTGTGTATTTGAAGTTAACCTTGCAATTGTTGGTTCTATTTGCAATCTGAAGGTTCCCGGTGGCATAAAGCCTCATCTACTTCGGATTGCGCTTTTCAACTTACGGGCTTCTATTTGAACGATATTGAATAGATCGTTCAGGTGTGCTCTGGGTTTTCAGCTATGAACGGATCGACAAACAACGGTTATAACGCAGTCCGTGAAATTGTTACAAGACGAATCCTGCGTCCAAATAGACTTCGTGAATTCCATGAATCGAACCGGGGTGATTATGCCCCTAGATTCCATCCCCCAATAAATATCACCTGCTCAGGTTTCATCCTTTGATTGCATATCTAATATGTTAAAGACCGTCTACATGTAGTCCACTATACTTCTGGCTACTGAACGTTGCCTAACTCTGGCATTCACACACTGACTTCACCCTCCTCACTCTCCTCCTACTATTCCTGTAAGGATACATTAATACCATGTCCATTCCATTCCAACTCCAGGGGTTTATGGAGATGTTCAACGAATCAAACTGATGCACAGTCGGAAAGATGCAGCATTGATCCAGTTCACCGATGCTACGCAAGCCAAACGAGGTAAGTGAGTAGATTTGATTTAGTTCATTTATACAACGTAATAGTTACACTCTTGCATCCAGTGTGGTTTGATTCTTTCTTCAGGTTATCTATTCTATATCATGAGTGATGCAAACAGTCAAGCGACATAATCGGAGTTACTGCGTATCGCAGACTCTGACTTCCCAACTGTTAATGAACGCAGCGATTTCGGGTCTGATGGTCAAGACACACTGCGGTTAATCCTCGCAATCGATGTGATCGTGTAGTAATATCTACAAGTAACAATTCACTAAAACAGATTTCGTTTTCTGAGCGAATTTTATGGTCGTTATTGTTCTCAAATGCTGGGATCTACTTAACTCCTGCTTATTGGCTGGGTACCCTAGCAGTCCCCGTCCATCAAACCCCAAAGCAAATGCATTGCGAGTTTGGCAGCGATCAGTGAAGTTCGATTCCATGTATTTCGCTGTGCGATGATGATGATGGTGTTCTACGCAACGCAATCGGTTTTGGTGTGGAACGTTTTGTATGAATGTTTTCCGTGACAGCGACTTCAATACCGTCAAACCTCATATCATCCCTTCGTTCCTGTCAGTTAAGCGTGAAGTGACACTCTATTCCATGTTCATAGTTTTCATCTTTTAACAGGTTTTATTTGTGTTCCGCTAGTACGATTTCACTAAATGGCGATTTAATTTTTCTGAGTTTTCTTGAGCGTAACGCTTGCGATAAATGAGGCGTTACTGGAATGCAACGTGATCTTTGAATGATTAAGCCATGGGTACTAATGTTTACCAGCTAAAACGGATGACACCGTATATTCATTAATCAGATCACACGGTGACTGGTTCACGCTTCGAGGTTTGTGTGCAACCCATTCTTTTGGTCCAACCGCCTCGCGTTATTTCACACCTATTATAGGTGTACTTATGCTCACATAAGTTATACAAATACAAAATACAAATAGACGTGTGCTCACACGTAGTGATGCACACTCAGTGACTCAGCTTTCAATCAAAACTTACTCTGTTCGATGATGGGACCGGCAGGCTGGTTTTTTCATCTCATACGGTACAGTGGTTGTGGATGTGCGAGTTATGACATTCAAATCATATATACTATATATTACTGTATTGTATCCCATGCTTCTGATGTCCAGATTGAAATATCACATCCGTGCATATGCGGATGACATTTTTATGGAATTGTGACGTAAGCGTAATCACTTTGTATTTCCAAATGAAGTGCACTCTCTGGTTTCCCATTTTTACATGGAATGGTGTGTTCGGTATTTTCTGTTCATTCTCCGCCATTCCGTTATCGCTCACGCCTTTTCTCTTTTCAGCTGTGAAATATTTAGACAGTGTACCTCTGTACGGGAAGGTAATGCGGTGTTCACTCTCTAAGAATGCTTCCGTCAATATTCCACCGGCTGGGAGTAAGGATCCTGCGACTGGAGATGAAATTTCCGCGGCCAACAACCGTGTGTACACAGACAGTCGTTTGCATCGTTTTCGCAATGCCAGTTCACGTAGCCTGCAGAACATATGCCCTCCAAGCCGTGTGCTGTACGTGTCCCAGTTGAGCGATCAAGTTAGTGAGGAAGATCTGATCGATGTGTTCTCGCGTATAAGCGGTCATGAGCCAGAAGTAGTAAAATTGGTTCGGTGAGTTGACCTAAGTCATTTTCATGCTCCTTTTTCGTCGTTAGTTTCAATTGATGTCCGTTTGTTTATGAATTCATTTTTCAAATTCGATCAACAAGCTCTTTGTCCTATTGGAGTTTTTCATCCACATTCTCACATCTAAATATTCATATTAGTGAATTTTATCACATTTTCTAGTGGTAGTATACCGCAATTAATTGAAAACTGAAACAAAGCATTGGAACTTTTCATCCGATTTACCGGATGCACATATCATTTGATTTTTTGTCGTTTTTCTCGCGTATTTCAATGACCCGTTTTTCCTTCATACAGAATTGCAAAACCAATGGCGCTGGTGCAGATGAAAAATTTGGAAGAAGCGGTAGCCGCTCTCGTGGTGAGTTGTGATTCTACATTCAAATTATTAGTTATCAGTCCTCTGAATCGCTGCTCGTTGTTTGTCCTGACATATGGGGCTTGTCAGAGTTCCAAAATTAAATTTGGATCACCCGTTCATTTTTTAACCCCTACTTCTGCCACATTTGAATAGTCGTATAAAAAGTTTTTTAGACGAATTTCAAGTGGAACTGTGTTCGCACAGTACCTCTAATGTCACGAGTATCGTTGCACTACGATTTGCTTTGTTNATTTGCTATCACAGCAATAAACGTGGTCCTCAGTTTTGGACGAAATATCTGAATGCGTGTCATCGGGTGCAACATCGAGTTCCTAGTAGTCAATCCAATAAATTTAGTAAAACCTGAATAGTTATTGTGATAACCGTAACGATGCTCGTTGTTTTTGTGACTGAGGTAGTATAACTCGATGTTCGGTGGTTCACCTAGCTTGGAGAACAGGCAAATTAAATCAGCGTTATCCTGATTCGCAGTACATTTGTTTGATCACCATGCATTTTGTCTGTCAACCACCGGCTTAATCAGTATCTCGGGCAGATTTCGATCACCCACTCCTATCGATGTCAGTCATGTGCCATCTTAACCCAAGCTACTGTAATGGTCTCGTTTCTGGGTGTGAACTAGCTTGACACCTGTCGTGGTACTTCTTCCTACCAAGCGTGTCGAACAACCGGAAAAGTTAAAACTGTCCAACGGCTACCACCGCCCATCATGTATAAACTGCTTTTTCTCATTTATTGTGTGTTTGCTGTAATAGGTTTACGTTTTTCATGTTGTGACTCAGTGTGATTTCGTGCATTTATGATCTTTTGTCTCTTCTAAATTCCTGTTCACGCGCCTGATCCTTGTCTGTTATCTTTACATTTGTTCAGGCGCTGGATGACTACGAGATTGACGACAACACGCGTATTCGAGTTTGCTTCAGCAAGTCGCCCATACGTCAGTGATCGCTAACCAAAAGCGGACTGCATTTTTCAACCATTCATTCATTCATACGTTCAACTTATCCACGACGGTTCTGTTCATGCAGTATATTCACGTTTGTTATGTTAATTGAAGTCGATACACTTAACTGTTTCTCGGACAATCTTCTCAAATGAATAAGCCGCACGCGGTAACTTTTAGTCCAACGTTGACAGCACATTTTCGGTTCACTGATTATAGTTACGCTTTTATTCGAATGCTTCTGTTTCCTTCATGGGCTTACAATTAGACGGGTTTTCTGATACTACTCACAGTCAGCTGGGAATGGTTATATTTTGTTCTCCAAATGCGAATCCGTGCCTTCTGACCCATGCAACTAAGTGCACATCCCTCCCGGTTTGGAGATCTATGTTAAATGTGACGATCTGGTAAAAGAGTAAGCATACCATTACAGTCTGTCTTTTGCAGTTGTGGTATCTGTTATTATTTTATATAAGATTAACAGTGCAGTTGTTGCTTCGAAGTTGTCACGTTCGTGTAATTCGTGCGTACAACTACATATAATTTTCGGCATAGGTGCACAACTGTGAGTAGGGCTGGAGAATAAGGTGAAGCTCCGGAAAACGAAAAATCTAGTGCGTACGTATTCTTGGTTTTACCCGACAGTGTTACCATAATCACACTAAAGTGGTATCAAAGGCGGTGTCCAATATTAACCTTTTGAACGATTTGTGGCATAAATATTATGACTACTCATGAGTGATGTCTAAGGCTCTTGAAACATCAGTATAAAAGTAAATGTTATTCATATAATATTAATATAATATATAATTACTCACATGCAATAATATAACACCAAATTAACATTACCAGCAAGAACAGAACATGGTTCAACAGGGATGCGCTTCTCTGATGTGACCCAAAAATATTTCTATAAAGGTGAGAAACGTTTCATACGAAAAATCGAACCACATCCGATATTGAATCCCATCAAAATGATCCCATACCATCTCTCGAAAAGTATATCCGCCAATGGAAGCCCGCAGCTCCTGCAAGTGCATAATGTGGCCGCAAACGAAGTTTTTAAGAGGCTATGTACGTTACAAACCCTCAACTTGTTTTCAAGGTCACGATCCTAAACAAATATGCCTCAAATGCATCTTTATCCACGAGTGGCATGACGCAACTAAAGACACGAAATCATTGAAATAATTTGCAAACATCATTCATCTGTTACTATTTCATGGTAATGTGCAACTACCAAAATACAGGGGGTTACTCCGGCCAATCAAGTTATACAAAGGTTAGCAAAGAGGCTTAAGGCACGGTATGATGGTAACCACCTTCAAACAACATGTGGAAATTTTGATGCGTGCAAAATAGTCGTGATGGTCGTCGTTTCATAGCATGTGTCCCCTCGTTTGTCGTGCTTGTCACAATGCTTTCAATGGTGTGCGGCAGGTTAGCCGAGGCCAACCAGTCGAAAATCCGTATTCCAATGGGGAGTCCAGCTATTCCGTCATCTCAAGTGAGTAATGAAGGATTTGATTCAATTGCAAAGGTGAATTCGTCGTGTATATGACATGGAGCGTGAACTGAAAAGCTAGGAAGCACTGGACAGCTGTTTCGACCTGGTTGGATCTCATCAGCAGTGCGAATCCATCGACCTATCTGCATGTCATGTTCGCACAGCTGAATCAATTCTCTGAACAGCTCTCTACTTTTTGGTTAATTATGTTGTACCGCCAGAAGTAGACTTGTTTGCAGCTGAGTTATTTCATTTCAGACATCTTTTGGTCTCCCAGACATCAACCAGAAATTTAATTTTTATAAAACAAGTTGATTTACATCGAAATGAGTAGATATCACGGCCAGCAACGTTTTGTGACGGGGAAGATATATGGAAAATATCCAAGTCAGAACAAATATGTCAATCGTGGTTTCGGAAAAAGCAACATTGTAAGTGTTTGGTGTGGGCGCGGTCTTATGGGAACCCTGAGAGAATACGATTGTCGTGGACTATCGTTCGTACGAAAGCAGAGTGAGACACTACGAAACCTCTGACGGTTATATCGTGTAAACTTGCAGAGCCAAAAGAGGAGATGAGGGAAATGAAAACAAACACGTGCCGATCAAAGAAGTGGCCTTGGTGCGTGAAAATAATGTGATGTAAGAGAGGGGTTTACACGTGGAATGAGAGATAGCTCGTGTCACTACAGTGCTCCCGCCACATGAAAATCTAGGGAGAGATTCGATATGGCTTGATTGTCCGAATCGTGGTCACAGAAATAATGGAAAAAACAGCGAAGCTGTGTAAGAGTCGAGTACTTCGAACAAATCTGCGAAAGTCGCGTATCATCGTGGTAACTAGTTACGACCCTCCAGGGGCATTGTACTAAACAATATGAGACAAAGAGTATGTCGCATATTATATCTAGACGATGGCACTGTACATCTCGCAGACATGTAGACCAAGTAATTTGTAATTTGCCCAATCCTGCCACTAGTTGTAAACTTACTAATCCTTTTATTTCTGAGTCTTTTCCAGAAGAATTACATCCCAGTACAAATGTCGAAAACAGTACAGAAGAACCCAGAAGATCTGAACGATTATTCAACAAAGCCCGCTGTAATGATTGTGATAGTCGTAGTAGTGCACACGGAATTCGGAACATAAACCACGCAATAGGAATCACCGGACACGAACAAGGGTTAGCTGTCACGCACTGGATTACGGAAGCACTGGACCGCAATGGCACGAGCTCGCAAAATCCCAGGTGAACGAGGCGCGAGGAAAAGACCACGGAAATAGTAGTACGTAGTTCGTTTATTGAAAGAAATGAGGGCGATTAAATAATATGTACAAAAGGTTATTGGTCATCTAGGTTTCCACCAATCGGATTGCAATATTGGTTGCATAATCTTGCTACTGCCTCCACTGTCTTGGATTGGCTGGCACGATCTGCCTATGGCGTGTAGTCGGAAGCCGTACGCGTGTCATTGACGTCAGCATTCAAATTTGATTGATCGCATGTGTCCGAAAATTGTGACGCGCCGCTCCAGGGTAGGCGTCATCTCGTAGGTCTGAATTACGACACCTGCCGTGATTACAGAAAGCCGCAGCTTCATTCAAGCTGCGGCGGATGTGGTGATTGCTCATTAGCTGTGAACTCTTGTTTTGTTGAACACGATATCCTTGTACCTTCTGAATTTCTGCTCATTACAGTTACATTCCGTCGCTGAGTTCTCTCTTTTGATTTCATTGTGAGTCCTAGTTCTGGGTTGGGCTATTACTGCGCGGAATCCGATACATATACGAATTACTAGTCCGAGTACGAACTACGAATCCAGCTCAACGGGGTCCGTTGGTTAGGACACGTCTTGCATAATTCCATCGGTTGCCTATAGCAGAGCGCCTTACACGCAGTGGCTGTTGCAGGGTGGAGCAAGCCACGGGGAGGCCAGCAGATGATGTGCAGACGAGGCATGAAGAAATGGTGTGATAAGCAAAGTTGAATCCAGTGGCTGGGCGACCCCGATTGTCGTGGCGATGAAAAGTGATGATAGGACACCACGGATCTGTGGGGACTATCGACTGACTGTGAATCCCCAATTGCGGAGATGTGCAGCGACCACCATAGAACCAGAGGATGTCGTGAAGTCATTGCATGGGTGCCAGTATTTTTCCAAGATCGATTTGGTGGACGCATACCTACAGATTTTACTCCATATCGCATGTATCGTCTGGCCTCTTTCAATCGGCAATAGACTGTGTAATCAAAGGACTCGACGGTGTGCTGCATATCAAGATGACGTCCTCATTTTCGACCTTAATAAGGAAGAACACGATGCCCGTCTGGAACGATTCGCCACCAGGAACGTGGCTATCAAGCCGTCCAAATGTGTTTGGTGTGAGTGAGTTGGAGTTTCTAGGATCCACAGTTGATTCCCGTGGATACCGTCCCGATCCGAGAAGTTTCAAACCATTGACTAACATCGAATCTTCAAAGGTTTAAACGCATTTGAGATCCGTGATGGGACGCCTACAGTACTATTCCCGATTTATCCCTAACTTTGCTACAAGAGCCTAGCCGATTTTCCGTGCTCAGTGTTCAGACACTTGGGAATGGTCGATGGAGTGAGATATTTTACGTGATTTAATTCACTGTGTTACTAATCGTCCTGTTTTCGCCCCGTTTTCACCATCAAAACCTGCTATACTAATCACCGATGCGTCCGACGTCGGAATCGGTGCTATATTAGAACAAGAGGGAGGCCCAGTGATCTGCATTTCACGTCTACTCAATGCGGGAGAAAAGGGATACTCACAGACTTAAAAAGAAGCGTTGGCTGTATTGTGGGCTGTTCGACGATTGGACAAGTACCTTTTCGGATTGCGGCTTACCATCATCACTGATCACCAAGCGCTGCAGTTCTTGTTCAACCCATCGCGAAGTCCACTGCTACTATGTTACAGATGTGGAGCATTGCCCTAGCTGCATACAACTACGACCTCCAACATCGTCCAAGAAAGACAATCCCGCAGGCTGATTTCCTCTCTCACGATTTTCAGAGGCCGAACGGTGTCATTTCATCTCCCTAGCATCACCAGTGCCTCGGGAATCTTTACACAAATCCATCAAGCAGTACTACTCGGCTATACTCTCAGCGATAAAGAAAGGGTGATCGCTAGAAGTAAAGAGAAAGTATCCTCAATTATTTGCTCACCGAGAGTAGTTGTCAGTGCAATTGGATGGTGTATTGTGTCGCGACAATCGATCGGTAATCCCGCCGCCATTACGGAAGACGGAACTAGATGAATTGCAAAAAGGACATATGGGGATGGAAGAGATGAAATTATTGGCTCGACAGATGTGTTGGTGGCCGGTGTTGGACACAGACATTTACGCAACAGCCAGGAACTGAGTCGTGTTTACATAAACTACGAACAATACCGAAAAACTGGACACCATGGCAAAGGGTCCATTTGGATTTCTGTGGTCCATTTCTGAACGCCCTTGTT